TCACTCTGTCGCCCAGACTGGAGTGCAGTGGCCGCTCCCGGCCACCGCAGCCTCGACCTGCTAGGCTCCGGCGATCCTTCCTCCTCAGCTTTCCGAGTAGCCAGAATTACAGGCGTGCGCTACCATGCCCAGCTAATTTTTTGATTTATTGTAGAGATGAGGTCTCGCCTGCCCAGGTGGGTCTCGAACCCGCGGGCTCAGGCAATCCACTCACCTCAGCCTCCCAAAGGCGCGGGATTACAGGCTGAGCCACTGAGCCCGGCTAAATTAATTTCTTAATTAACACAGAGGCCAGCCGTTTGGTCCTGGCCATTCATGTAGGAATATATAGTCTTGTGTTAATCAGAAGTTACTAAAAGGTTAACTCAAATTACAATGTAAAAAGTTATCTATAAAAAGGTGAAAAGAAAAGAATCAGAAAGCAAAGGAAAGGTGTAAAGAAAGATGTGAATATAAAAGTAGTTTTTGTTTTTTGGCTGGGCACAGTGGCTCACGCCTATAAACCCATTATTTTGGGAGGCCGAGGTGAGAGGATTGCCTGAGCCCACAGGTTTGAGACCAGCCTGGACAATTTGTAAGACTTCATTTCTACAACAAATCAAAAAATTAGCCAGACGTGGTGGTACATGCCTGTAGTTCCTGCTACTTGGAAGGCTGAGGCAGAAAGATCACCTGAACCCAGCAGGTCAAGGCTGCAGTGGCCATGAGCATGCCAACTAAAAAAAAAAAAAAGTATTTTTTTGGTAAGGAAGGATGTATATTTGAATGCACAAAAAGCTTACTTTAAAAGTTATACTTTGGCTGGGCTCAATGGCACACCCTGTAATCCCAGCATTTTGGGAGGCTGAGGCAAAAGGACTGCCTGAGCCCAGGAGTTCAAGACCAGTCTGGCCAACATGACGAGATCTCATCTCTAGAATAAATTAAAAAATTAGCCGGGCATGGTGGCGTGTGTCCGTAGTTCCAGCTACTTGGAAGCCTGAGGCGGAATGATTGCCTGAGCCCAGGAGGTCAAGGATGTGGTAGCCGTGATTGTGCCACTGCACTCCAGCCTGGGCGACAGTGAGACTCTGACTCAGACAATAAAAATAAAAGTAAAACAAAAGATGTACTTAATTACTTACGCCATGCTGCAGAGTTCATATTGAGTATGTCTATAGTGTTTCTGCAGCTCTGAAAGCAGACAATCGGGTGTATGGCAAAGTGGTCAGGATTCTGCTACTAAAGGAAAGAGTGAAATGTCCACAGTCTTGGTGTTTCCTTTTGTATAAGATGCTAATGGTGTCTTTGAATTTGTTTGAGGGAAAACAAATCCTCCTTCATTTTTTTTTTTGACTTGGAGTCTCCCTCTGTTGCCCAGGCTGGAGTGCAATGGCACACTCATGGCCACCCCAGCATCAACCTACTGGGCTACGGCGATCCTTAGGCCTCAGCCTTCCAAGTAGCCGGAACTACAGGTGCACGCTACCACGTCCAGCTAGTTTTTTATTTATTTATTGTAGAGACGAGGTCTCGCCAAATTGCCCAGGCTGGTCTTAAACCCGTGGACTCAGGCAATCTACTCACCTTGGCCTTCCAAAGTGCTGGGATTACAAGCTGAGCCACCAAGCCCGGACCCCTCCTTCATTTTTGACTTTAGCATGGATATCCTACTCAGGGGTGGATATTCAGAGTCCAGGGGCTTTGAGGTGGTAACATTTTTCAAAAGTTGAAATGGAAGACTTGACTACTTTATGAGGTCTGACAATTAGGTTTGCGAACCATCCTAGAAAAAGTGTTATATACCTTGTTACTGAATATACCATGGTCACCTTCAAAGTACTCCTCTTGGGAAGCTATGCACCGACACCAGCACCTACTCCACCTGTCAAAGCAATTTTGGAACTCTTTTTCTGTAATGAACATTAGAGTTGTCATCATTTGTTGAGATTGGACAACGAAGTTCGTGAACTTGCCATCATGTGCTTACGTTGGCAGCAATGTACAAATAAATGTATTGGAACTCCCTCCCTACTCACATGATCTGGCTCCCGATGACTTTTTTCTTTACCTGAAGATAAAGGAAATATTGAAAGACATTTGATTCAGGGCATCAAAGGTAATTCGACGACAGCTCTGATGGCCACTTCAGAAAGAGTTCCAAAATTGCCCTGATGGGTGGAGTAGGAACTGGCATCAGTGCATGGCTTCCTAAGGGGAGTACTTTGAAGGTGACCATAGTGATATCCAGCATTGAGGTATGTAGCACTTTCCCCAGGATGCGTTCGTGAACTTAATTGTCAGACTGCGCATTTCAATAAATTCTCACCTGGGTGTGAAGGAGCTCAGTGAAGAGATGACATTGCTGATGGATTTCTATTCTGGTGTGCAGCTGTTCCTGGGAGACAGTGATTGGCCTAAACACCGAGCCCTTTAACCACAGCATGTCCAAATTTCTGATATCCCCTTCTAGTCTGTGAGCTATCAAGCAGATCGCAATGAATGTTTACTCCTCTGTATGGATGTCACGAGGGCAGCAAAATGTGACAGTGCCTCTTCCATGTTTCTCTTAAAGAGTTTTCTTTCAAGGACATCCTGGTGGCTCCCAGAAAGCCAGTGAGTGCAGCTACTCATTTGCTGTTCATGCTGGCTCCCGGTGTTAAAGATGAGAAACTGGAACGTTCTGAAGGGTCAGGTCAATGCTGTTCCTTCTTAGAAGGGCTTGCCGGTTAATGTACATTAGAAACACAGGAGACAAAAAGAACTAGCATTATTTATTTATTTACTTGTCATCGACCTGCTGGACTCAGGCCATCCTTCTGCCTCAAGCCTTCCAAGTAGCTGGGACTCAAGTGCACACCACCATGCTGCGCTAGTTTTTGATTTTTTGTAGAGATGAGGTCTCACCGAAGTTGCCCAGGCTGATCTCGAGCCCCTGGGCTCAGGCAATCCTTTCATCTCGGCCTCCCCAAGTGCTGCGATTACAAGCGTAAGCCTGAGTCACTGTGCCTGGCCAAGATAAATATTTTGATCTTAAAAGATCAAATGCCTTTTTTTCAAGTTCACGAAATGTTTAACATGCCCCTACAATGTGCTGGTACTGTTCTAACGCGGGGATAGAGTCATAAACAAAAGTAAAACATTCCTTTCTTATGGTCTTACATTTTTTGAGTTGGGGTCTCACTCTGTTGCCCAGGCTGGAGTGCAGTAGAATGTTCATGGCTCACCACTGCCTTGATCTCCTGGGCTCATTTGATCCCTTCTGCTTTAGCCTCCTAAGTAGTTGGGACTACAAGTATGTGCCACCAAGTCAGCTAAATTTTTTTTTTTTTGAGTTGGAGTCTCACTCTGTTGCCCAGGCTAGACCGCAGTGGAACGGTCACAGCTACCACAGCCTTGACCGGCTGGGCTCAGGTGATCCTTCTGCCTCAGCTTTCCAAGTAGCTGGAACTACAGGTGTGCGCCACTGCGCCCGGCTACGTTTTTGATTTATTGTAAAGATGAGGTCTCACCAAGTTGCCCAGGCTGATCTCAAACCCGTGAGCTCAGGCAATCCTCTCACCTTGACTTCCCAAAGTGCTGGGATTATAGGCGTGAGCAACTGTGCCCAGCCAAGTCAGCTAATTAAAACAAATTTTTTTTGAAGAGGTCTCACTGTTGTCCAGACTGGTCTTGAACTCCTGGCCTCAAGCAATCCTCTTGCTTCAGCCTCCCTAGTAGTTGAGACTACAGGTGTGTGCTACCATGCCTGGCTTTTTAATGTTTTTTAGAGACAAGGTCTTGCTATGTTGTCCAGGCTGGTTTTGAGCTCAAGCAGTCCATCCACCTCAGCCTCTCAAAGTGCCGTGACTACAGGTGTGAGCCACCACACCCTACCAGGAGCTTATGTTCTTGTGGTGACAATAACATCATGCAGCTAAGTAAGAGCTGTTATGCACTGTTAAGATCTTACACATCTCTAAGCAGGCTTATTCACCATTTAAAGACCTCAGGACTTGGCATAGTAACTAGTGCACACATAGGTCAACAAACATCTCCTAGAGTTGTTGACATACAGTGACCTTGGCCTGGCTGTTTTCAGTAAAATGCTTCAATCCACATGGGGTTGACCAGAATGATGGTCTAGCCTCTGGAGCCTTGACTGAGCCACGAAGCTTCTGCAGGTGTTAGTTGCAAATCCCTCTTCTTTCCCCTTGCTCAGGATTGTTGCTCCAGAAGGCAGTTAAACAAGAAGTTCCACCACTCTCACCACTTCTAAAGGGCATGGCAGGTAGCAGAGAAGCAGCAACCTTGAGATTCTAGTGCGCCAAAGAAAGGTTATGGGCAAACAAACCTCTAATAAGCACTTAAATGGATGCAAATTTACTTAGTTTCCCTGTATATCAAACTCTGTCCTAGAATGTTACCCCACAGTAACCCATTAGACAGGTTTTAAAACATTCATTTTACTGATAAGGAAACTGAGGGCCTGAGAGGTAAAATAACTTGCCTTGCAACTAAGCTTCTATTGGAATGGCGCCCCGGACTGTGCAACTCTGCCATTTCTCCTCCGTTAGAGTCTCTCAAATGGAGGCCTTTGACCTAGAGCCAATTCAATCCCCATGGATGGAAGGGCCTTTGATTTACTCATTCTAGACGATTCTAATTTTCTACTTCAGAAACTTCAGTTCTTAGTATCTCAGCAGAAGCAATTTGTGTTTCCAACTCACTTGAACATACTTTCAAGACACCATAGCATGAGATCACCCACTGATCTTGTCTAATCATACTCGGTTCAAGAGGCTATGAGGGTGGGTGAGGGAGGATAGATTTTAATCATAAGAACATACTTGGAATTTAGACTAGCCTGCTTACAAAATTAAGACAAATTCCTCTATATAGTCTTTTAAAAAATTCAGATTACTTTTATCTAAAGAAAAAATCTGACTGGTATCTTGATAACTGATTTAAAAAGAATTATGTAGGTCCAGAATTAATGAATTATGTTTTGGGATTTTGTTCAACAGACAAAGTACACCTAGTGAACATAAAAATTCTTTATTCAACCTAATCCAGCCGGTATTGAGATAGTCTGCTATATTAAAAACAAGACGTTTAAAAAAATTACAGCAGAGTTAGCAAGGCAGTGACCAGTTAAGTCACTAAGTTCAAATTTTATATTCTTCACAGTCATTTGATAATTATGTAATGATAAACAATATTTTCAGCCACTTTTCATGGAGATAAGTTAACTTCTGCAAAGAATGGAATTCTATTGGTTATCATTGAATTTTATAAAAGAGGTTTAAAACATTAAAGATTCTAGAAATAACACAGTAAAGTAATAAGAAAATAAAATCGGAAAACACAAAATATATCCACCCATCCCAACAGTCAACATCATCTCTTTAATTTGTCCCCTAATGTCCTTCCTTTTACCTCTTCATTCACTTTTCCTAGAGTGTAAACAGACTATTTAGCAATTAAGAAACCACCACTGCTCTGTAGGGTCCATCCTGAGCCTAAAGCACTTCTGTTCCTTTAAATCCTCATTTAATCCCAGAAATAGTCTTCCAGGCCACATTTCAGAGATGAAGAAAACTGTGGCTGAGAGGAAGTTAAATTGCTTGGTGAAGGTCACTCTACACAATTATGAAAAGCTGAGTGACGACTTGAACTCAGGTCCATCCACCTGTAAGCCTGCCCATGCTCTTCTGTTGCGTCACGGTCGGGCAGGCCACCTTCCTGGAAAGCCTGGCACATGGTATTTCTTGAGCCAAGGCTCTTCAGATTTACAAGTGTTCAATTCCAGGGCTAGAGGCCACTCTGGTCCCAGGCACTTGCAGTTCCCTCCTCACAGCCCTAGAAGCCCCTCCCTCCTGCCCCCAAAGGGTTACAGTTGTTCCACGGTCCCTGGATCCTTGACGCCCATCAACTCAAGCAGCCACTCCACGTCTCGGGCATTGAAGTAGCAAACAGGGAACTGTGTGCTTGCATTAACTTTAGCAAAGGCTGCCTACAAGCTGTTCGATATTAACAAAATGATGCGGGAAATGTCTACTGAATATATCTCTTCACACTGAAAATTTAAGAAAAGTCAATACATTTTATAGCTATAACTATATAATCTAAGTTATCTTTATATATAATCATAGTTTGCTATTTCCCCTTCAGAACTGTAGCAGTGTTCTTAATAAGGCTCACTGTCAGTCAGACCTTCTCTTCCTCCTCAAAAAAGGAACTTTACATGTTCAACAGCCATTCACATAAATGTGATGTTATAACTCAAAATTAAGACATGCATACTATGGAAGGGTACCAGTCGTTAATTACTAAAGTTAACATACATTATTGCAATCTAACATAGCTCAATCTATATTTGCTACACTCCTAAAGTGGCCACTTATCAATAAGGGGAAACATTTACTATTGTCATGCATTAGATACTGTGAACAAGAAAATAAACAGGGTTTTGGAAATATCTTTTTAATATTTAAATTCAATTAATGAAAAGAACTGCAAGACCATTTAGATTGCTGAGCAACATTAAAATGGCCACTCTGTTGAAAATGGCTTAAAATAAATAATTGCTTTAGAAAAATGAACACAAAACTAGTTAAACAGTGATTATTAAGGTGCTAGATTCATCAATACGACAATTAAAAACCTAAAAACATTACGATGAGTTTTCTATAATAAACTGATAAGCCAAAAAACAATGATCCCAGTATTTAATATTTACTCAAGACATCTTGTTTTCATAATTTTCTCCTCATGGACTGATATAAAAACAGAGAGCTCAAGGCCTCACCTTGATTTATTTACTGCTGGTTTTCTGCTGAAACTAGACTGCAAACTCTGTAAGAGCTGGGACCAAGTCTGTCTGGCTCACTATATCCCATGGCACTCTGCATAGTGCCTGGGTGAGGAGAGGTGATCGGCAGATGTCTGAATAACTGAATCAGTGAAAGAGGAGAGTGAACTAACTTTATCGATTTTTTTTTTTCTTTTGCAAATTGTTCTCTGTTCAAACCACTATTAACTGGCAGGTCTAATTTCTAGAAATAGGAACATCTTCCACTCGGCACATGGAGCATGACAAAGATGTCATAGCCTCGCAGAACTCCTCAGGAGCTCAGGTCTTGTGTCAAAGGTCAACCAACAGACCCCAAATGTGCAACTGAGAGACCAGTGGTACCCAGGGGGCCCAGCTCTGCTGCTGGAGATGCCAGCCAAGACCCTGAAGAGCTGTGTGGAGGGAGAGACTCCAAAATCCTTGAACGGCCTAGTATCGAACATCAAGAAGAGGCCAAGACCACATCCACTGAGTGAGGAACATAATAGCAAGGAAGGTGATGTTTCAGATGATACCCAAGAGCTTAAAGACTACCTATCAAGCAGGTTAGGCATTATACAGGTGTGTGTGAATGACCCTGCTCACACTCTAGGCATAAAGATCAAAGAAACAGAGGGAGGGCTAACAAAAATTAAAACTGCTATCTCTTTGACACATTCTGGATCTATTCAAGGCACACAACATGGAAGGCTTGATCTGATCCCTGAGGGAACAGCACCACCACCTGCAGTCCAGGCCACTGCTGCTCCTCACAATCATGACAGTCAGAAGATAGGTGGGATGACGGGCGAGTGCAATATTACTACAAGCGCTTTCAAGTGCCTTACTAGTCACGACACAGGAGCCTGAATAGGACTGTACCTTGTGAAGAACCCTTGAGTTGAGTAGATGCAACATAACCTTAGCTTACTACTCTTTGATAAAATTAGAAGCCTGCCTGGAGTACTGCTATATTGATGGATGTGAGACTTCTTTTTTGGGGAGAGTACATTCATCCAGTGAGTATACAAAGAGGTCTCTCCACTGAGAAGGATGCAGGTTTGTAAGCAACATTCCTGAGGATCCCTCCAAGTGTGATTTCTGGTGGTGTAAGTATAATGTCAAGATGGAGGGATGTCACAGTAGTAGCTCTTTCATCAGGTCACATCTACAGTTCCTCTGAAGATTGTTCAACATTGTATGCCAATCAAACCTTGCCATTTACACCTATGCATAGTAAGATAACGATATTCAATAATCATACCTATATTCACCCTTTACTACCATAATCAATGATACAAGACTGATGTTTCATGATCTACACAAGGAAGTCTCACTAGGGAATGGGACAATAGTAGATGGTGAACTATCTGGGTGCTGCGGCCCCACCTCTTAGGTGAAGACAATCAGTTGAACAAAGATATACCACAGACTTAATGTGAAATTTTTTTCAGTAGATACACATCCTATCATTTGACCAAGATTTGAGTTACGTGCATTAGCCTCTCAGCTTGTTATGGGTCACACACTCCACAATGGTGGCTCCACGGTAACACAATCACTGGGATCATTATGGGCACAATAGCCACCATGTGGCCTTATGTAATCAAGGAGCATCAAACCATGAACATGACAACTGAGTAGGCCTATTTGTCTGTCAACCGCCGTGGAAGCACAGTCGTATCTAAACCCTTGGAACACAATTCTTCATATTGGGTCTCCTAAGGTGGGTCCAGGCAGATATATATCACACCAAATAAGTAATGGAAGTCTCATCTGAGGCACGACAGAGTCTGGCCTGCACCCTATGTAACACCATCGCACGGTCAAGCACCAGTTTATTCTCCCTTTGAACTCTCAGACATTCACCATGATTCAGTTGTGAGTTCACATATGGTTGATCCTGCCTACTATGCCTTTAGTCCAAAACCTGACTTCTCCGGAGAGTTCCACACATCATCCGATCAAACAATTCACCTCAGCAATGCATTATGGCATCTCAGTCTTCCTTCGTCTTTTCAATCCCTTCAGATGGATCAGAGACCTGACTGCCTGGGCTGCATGGTTCAGAGGCATCCTCTGTCTGTCAACACTTTGCTGTGCCTTGACTAGAATGGTCATCAACTGCTACAAATATGGGCGCTGATTATTAAAAAAAAAAAATCTAGAAATATGGATTTAAAACACTTACTCTAGAGATGGTAGGACCTGATGAGACACTGAGATGGACAGACAGACACATACACACACACACACACACACACAAATCAAGACTGCATAAGTCAAAATTACATTATGAACTATGAGATGTCAACATTATATACATAAAATTTAATATTGAAAAAGTGATCTGGAAGCCCTATAAATTTTTACCCTACACATTTTGGAGGACATCACATGGGTTAAGAAAAACACAACAAAATCTCATTTGTTCAGAGGATCATTCAGATGTTTACATACATTTTTGGTTTGTTATTGGTTTATAACTCATTTAATTTATTATTTCCTCATATTAACATATGCTTCCATTTAGTATGTAATCAAATTATGCCAGTGAGAAAAATCCTCATAGTACCTTCATTGAATTGCTGACTAAGAAAACACTAAACATGAACATGTACAAAAGAGGCATTTGAAGAAAATGGTATGTGCATTTTTTAATAATTGCACAGCTTGATCTTTACATTTCTGTCTGAAGAAAATATCAACAAATCCCATGCTAAGATAATGGTTCAGATGACTGCCACAAAAGAAATACATACCAAACAATGAAACAAATCACATCCTTAGGTTCCGTGATTACCAAGACAATTTCCCCTGCCCTAAGTGCCTTATTATTTCTTTAAAAGTATAGGAGCAGCAGCTTGTCACAAGTCTCCACAAGTGCATTCATGATGGAATCAAAACAATACAACAGATTCATAAGGATGAGAGGACTGTAGAACAACCAGAAGTCACAGTTTTAGGCTTCTTCTTGTTCTGGATAATTTAAGATTTTGCGATGTGCCTGACGTAAATATTGCTGCTGTTTGAAGTAAACCTTAAATGCTCCTTTTATGGCAACAAAAGCAATTCCACCCTAAAATAAAAAGGAAAATTAGTTTTATATAATGCAACTTTAGAGAAACATAATGACACAAAACATTTTACTTAGATCACAAAAGACATAGATGCTAACTAATTCAGATGACTGCAAGTGAACCAGTTCTCCTTTTCTACTGGGGGTGAGATAGGGAGAGAGACAGACACTGTGGGTAGCAGAGGACAGAGATGCCACCTCCATCATCCTATCTGGCTAATATCCCTTCCGCTTAGCTCCACACCCACTTGAATACACAAGGGAGAATGCTAGGACACTACATGCAGACTGATACTGGGGCGGGGGAGAAGTGGGAATAATAATAATGATAATAGTTTTCAACACGAGTGCTTACTACATGCAGGTACCTATTTAATCCTCACAATAATCCCGAGGTAGCTACCATTACCATCCCCATGCTGCAGGCACAGAGAAGTCCAGAGATTTGATTGAGGTTTCACAGCAAGGCAATTTCTGTGATTGGATTTGAACCAGGCAGTCTGACCCTAGAGAAGAAGCTCTTCACTGTAATCCCACTGGTAAGAGGGATGGGTGTGACAATTCATGCATATTCCAGAAGGGAATTCACCCATAGCATAGCTCTGAGCAGCCAGAACTGCTGCCAGAACTCCTTTTATTTCCACCCAGGTTTCTGAATGACAGAGGAGATGAAATAAGTGCTCAGGCACAGGAGTCACAGACTAGGTATTTATACCCCAGCCGTATTTAAAACAAATACAGTTCATTCTCTTATACGCCAACTGAAAAAAGCAGTATTAAAGCCATCTTACCAAGATTGTCCTTTGTAAATTAGAGTTAACACTACTGAAGATCAATTTACCAACTATTGTTGCAATAGTAGGAAAGACAAGTGCCCCGCACAAAATTCGGGTAGCAGAGACATGATCTGCTAAAGGATTAGCCTCAGCTGGAATTCGAGGAACAGGACAACCGATCCCTAGAGAAAAAATGCAGGGACTTAGTGTTAATAAGTCAGAAGAGCTAGAATATCTTGAAACATTTCTGAAAAAGCACGTTGTGGTCCTTCCACAAGATCAATTTGGCATATTTTACAACCACAATTCAGGGCCTTACCTGGAAATATACTATTCAAAATTTGTAGTTTATTCGAGTATTTGCGCCATAGTCGAAGCACATAGTCTTCCCAGCGAATCATCTTGCCTAATATCAGCATGACAGGAATAGTAGGAAGTCCAATTAAAAGAAATAATGGATCTGCTCTCTCCATAACATCCAGACCTTCTTTATGGCCTACAACCTATGAAACAGATAGCATTTGCTAAAATCATTTCCTAGTCTAATAAAGTGCTGCATGTTTGAGCTCAATTCATTTTATAGGAAAGGCTTAATTTCAAAAGAATACAGAAATATAGAGTTTGAAAAATAAGCTGGAAAGGTCTCAGTCCTGATTTATTGATAAGAAATGACTCTCATTCATAGAAAAAACAAAGTTCCTAAGATATTTCATATTACATCAAAATAAAAAAGCTTTAAAAATGGCCGACCTAAAAAGACAACAAAGAAATAAGAGAAAAACAATAAAAATGGCTGACCCACATTGACTACATTTCAGTGGCGGGGAGGGGACTTCTGGTTGTCGCTTCCATTACTTGATTTGGTTAGACTGGCCTATGGGATTGGGGTATAATTCTAGGTCCTATTTGTCTTCAGCGGAATATGCTTTCCTGATTGTCCTTAATCTAGGAGATTAAGCACAGCTGGCCAACGAGCAGTCCTGGCTTACAAGACATGACCTGAAAGCTCACCTCTCTTTGGCTCTTTCTCTTCACTCAATGGAGAGTGCAATAGGGTGTGATGTCCCTGGCTGGCTAAGTGTCTGCTCCTGAAGTGCACTTCCAAGGTTCGTTGTAGTTTTGGCTACAGGTCCCATGCATTTTTTTTCAATCCAGGAACCTAGGGTACCCTATCTATGGGGTAATAAATTAAATACAATCCTTTCCTACCCACCTCTGGGTCTTGGGGCTATTTCTCAATTGGTTTGCATCCCAGCTGGCAAGAACAAATTTGGCATTTGTGACTCTTTGCACTTCCCCTTCCCCCCTGCAAATTCTTTGGATTTTCTGACCAACTTTGGCCTTACATTTCTTTTGGTATCTCCATTCTTTTTTTTTTTTTTTTTTTTGAGTTGGAGTCTCACTGTCACCCAGACTGGAGTGCAGTGGCTGCTCCCGGCCACCGCAGCTTCGACCTGCTGGGCTCCGGCGATCCTTCCGCCTCAGCCTTCCAAGTAGCTGGAACTACAAGTGCACGCTACCACGCCCAGCTAATTTTTTTATTTATTTATTGTAGAGATGAGGTCTCGCCTGCTCAGGCGGGTCTCGAACCCGTGGGCTCAGGTAATCCACTCACTTCAGCCTCCCAAAGGCGCGGGATTACAGCTGAGCCACCGAGGCCGGCTGGTATCTCCATTCTTTTGGTGAGCTTCTTATTTCTGACTTGGGAGTTTTCCTGAAAATCCTCATTCAAAGGTCTCAAGTGACCTCCCTTTGGCCAAAAGTGTCAATTGCTCATATATGAAGTATGTTACTCTAGGGGATTATTCTTGGTAGTTATGAGAAGGACAGAAGGCCATTTCAATCTTGGGTCTAGTCCACCAAGGTGCACAGTGTGGTGACAGCTTGGTGGGAGGATACCTAACATATAGTACTCTATATAGTTTTTCTGATCACACTTTAGGAATAAGCCAGGAAGACAGGATTGAAAAGGATCTTGTCTATATCTTTTTTTTTTTTTGAGTTGGAGTCTCACTCCTGTCGCTCACGCCACCACAGCCATGACCTGCTGGGCTCAGGCGATCCTTCCGCCTCAGCCTTCCAAGTAGCTGGAACTACAGGCGCGCGCTGACATGTCCGGCTAATTTTTGATTTTTATTGTAGAGACGAGGTCTCGTCAAGTTGCCCAACCGGGTCTCGAAGCCGCGGGCTCAGGCAGTCCACTCGCCTCAGCCTCCCAAGCGCGGGATTCCAGGCTGAGCCACGGAGCCCAGCTCTTGTCTATCTCTTGACTGGGATGAGTGGAAAGGAGGAAGGGCAGTGGAAATGGAGGGGAAGAAAGGAGAGAGAGACTCAGCCTTTCCAGGAACGATACATGCTCAAGGAAATCAAACTCATAAAAAAGCAGAGGGGATCTTTCCAAAATGAGATACCCTTTGTGTCAGCCATTAGAGCAGAGATTTTTTTTAGGTTGTCGACACTCAGTTGGGAAAAAAGGGCAAGATGAAAATGGTCCGGGAACATTGAAGTTCTAGGCAAAAGACTTGATCCAGGTAAAAATATTATATAGAAGTGTTGGAGAAGACCAAATTTCAGCCAAGGATATAGCGCATGCTTGACTAATTTATCTAACTAAAATGCAACACTAAAGGGCAGGAGGCCAGCCTCTTCCTAATGATAAAAATGTTGGTCCTGAATCTGATAGTCTGCAGTGTCTCCAGGCAGAACTTAACGGCTTCACATCTTGCATGTGGACGGTGATCGTTCTGAGTTGCTCTTAATTAGAAGTGGTCTGGCTCATAATATTTCACAAACTCCAATATTATTATGGCGGCAAAAGTAGACTGGTCTGGACATTGTTTTACCTATAATGCTTTTCTAGAAAATTCCACTTCTACATCATTTATAATTTTAATCTAATGATCACTTTAAGTTATAACTAAATGTGATTTAAGTATTATCAAAGTGTTAGCAAATAAATCTGGGTATTAAAAAAAGAACCTTTGTTGGCTTAGGTGATCTTTCTTGGGGGGTTTAGAAATACAAAGCACAGTGAACATTCAGGTATAGACTACAGCAAGGGGGAAGTTTGTTCTTTATGGGTAGCAGTTAAAAATATATGTATATGTATAAATATACATAGGTGTGTGTGTACATATATATGTGTGTATGTATATATACATATAAAATAACCTTGTAACCAGGTGTATAAGAATGAGGATACAAAGGAAACAGGGCCAAGTGTGAGCAAAGCCCAACTGTGGAGAGAGATGTTACAAGAGCTAAAGCAAGTTAGAAGTGAGCTGAGGCTTATCACTCATGCACACACATCATTCACTCAACTGAGAACTAGTTTTGTGCTAGACAGAGGTCTCGGTGCTGGGGATAAAATGGTGAGCTAAACAGATGCCTTTTGGAGGTGAGAGAAAATCAAATCAAACAAGTGTGCAAATGTAAATACTGTGAAGAAATAAAGTAGTTTAACATACGTAGAATACCACTTGCTAACACGGTAAGGCTTAGGGTAATCAACGAAAGCTGATAAACAATGGGTCTGATTTACCTTTGACCAAGACAAAGTCAGCAAACCCTCTGTATGCTCATGTGCATTCAGACTTATGTCCCAAGATTTAAAAACAGAATATTAAGACTTGAATTTTGGAGTGAGATCCAGGAGCTACAGAATGCCTTCTCTAAAAATTTATTATTCATGTATTAAAATAAAGGCCTATAGAATTGTAGGTTTAGAAAAAAAAAAGTTTTTAGTTTTTTTCTGCTGAAGAGCTAAAAGCTAGATCTTCATATCCAGATAGTTCACTGCTGCTAAAAGGCCAAGAGTTTTAATCAAGGCCTGAGCTTTTAAAGTATTGTCTATTAAAATCCTACTTTTTTTTTTTGGGTTGGAGTCTCACTCTGTCGCCCAGACTGGAGTGCAGTGGCCGCTCCCGGCCACCGCAGCCTCGACCTGCTGGGCTTCAGTGATCCTTCCACCTCAGCCTTCCAAGTAGCCAGAATTACAGGCATGCGCTACCATGCCTGGCTGATTTTTTGATTTATTATAGAGATGAGGTCTCGCCAAATTGCCCAGGCGGGTCACGAACCCACGAGCTCAGGCAATCCACTCACCTCAGCCTCCCAAAGGCACGGGATTACAGGCTGAGCCACCGAGCCTGGCGAAAATCCTACTTTTAAAGGAGAATGAAAGAGTGATAGACTTACAGGTTTTCTTTGAGTTAAGGGTAAATTAGTACTATAATTAAGAGTGAACAAGGCTTATGCGGGGTATCTTCACACTGAGGTCAAAGTGGGAACTAGGCTAGATATTAAGGTTTCACTGTTCTAGCTGTCTCTGAATGTTCTAGCTGTCTCTGGGACCAGGCTTCACTCAAGGAGCCCTAGATTCAGGACAGGAGTACTAATGCTTCTTCCTGGCTGTGTGGCACTGGACATATCTAAATCAATAAACTAGGAATAATTAATAAAAGCTATGTCGCGAGAGGATTGCCTGAGTTTAAGGGTTCGAGATCAGCCTGGGCAACTTGGTGACTTCGTCTCTACAATAAATAAAAAAATAAGTTGGCCGTAGCGCATGCCCGTAGTTTCAGCTACTTGGAAGGCTGAGGCGGAAGGATGGCCTGAGCCCAGCACGTTGAGGTTGCCGTGGCCATGAGCGTTCCACTGTACTCCAGCCTGGACAATAGAGTAAGACTCTGACTCAAAAAAAAAAAAAAAAAAGTATCTACATCACAAAACTGTTGTAAGGGTTAAATGCATCAGTGCTTAAAAGGTGTTCAGCTAATACTGGGAAAAAATGGTTAACTATTACATTGACTTTTCAACAAAAATGCAAGAGGAAGGTTATTTAAGTTCTCTACAACTAACAAGTATCAAACATAAGACTGGTCCATGAGAAGAAAAGGAAATAAATGGGAAATGAATGGTCATCTCATTTCTTTCTTACTTTTTTTTTTGGAGTTGGAGTCTCACTCTGCTGCCCAGGCTGGGGTGCAGTGGCACGCTCACGGCCACCACAGCCTCGACCTGCTGGGCTCAGGTGATCCTTCCACCTCAGTCTTCAAGTAGCTGGAACTACAGGTGAGTGCCACCATGCCCAGCTAATTTTTTGATTTATTGTAGAGACAAGGTCTCACCGTGTTGCCCAGGCTGGTCTCAAACCTGTGGGCTCAGGCAATCCTCTCACCTTGGCCACCCCAAGTGCTGGGATTATAGGCTTGAGCCACTGCGCCCGGCCAGTCATCTCATTTCTTAACCTGATTTACTTGAACTCCAGAGTTGTCAGAGGACAAAAGGAAAACAGTCAAGTGTTGCACGGCAAACCGTTAGTACCACTGACGGTGAAATGGGGGCACATACCCTAGCACATACTCAGGTAGGTCAACAGTCTTCCCAATACTCTTAAATCACACAACAGTACTGATCCACGGACCACAGCTAGTCTCTCATTTCTGGGCTACCAAAAAAAAAAATCTCTTCAAGGGAGACAGTATATGTGGAGGTACTGTCTAAATGGTGATACATAATACATATGTACTACCAGTTTTGCTTTGTTGCCTATGTCATTCTTCCATCTACCAATCCAAATTATTTCCTTCAGGGCTGTCAGCTCAAGACTTACTTTTCTCATAATTTCAAATGATCTTTCACTTTCAGTTTTACTAATTGAAATACTCTTTATGTAGTCGTCTGCACTCTCTTCACATTTACTTAGATAAACTTGTAACTGTTCTCTGGTTGCCTCATTTATGTATGCCTTGTCTTGGACTGTCCCTTGATACTGGGGAGAAGAGGGTTTTCAGTTTATTGTGTTTTGCAAGACCCCAGGCTCAGTGTGAACTTTTTGAACAAATTATACCAGTGTGGCTCAAAATGCCAAAACACAGCTGGTAGCCCTTTTATAGAGGATACAACCTATATTCCTTAATTGGCTCCTGTTGTTAAAGTGCCCTATTATTTTATCTTATTTCTTAAGTTTTAAAACAAAGTTTATTAGAGAAAGAAGAGCAAAAAGAAAGGGAGACATGTCAGAGCTGGCATAGGTTTTGAAACAATCAAAGTGCCCCATTATTAAGAGAATTAAAAAAAAAAATCTCAGTCTGTTACCCAGGCTGGAGTGCAGTAGCATAATCACAGCTTACCACAGCCTCGACCTCCTGGGTTCAGGCCATTCTTCTACTTCAGCCTCTCGAGAAGTCATAACTATAGGTGTGTGTCACCAAGCCTGGCCAATTTTTTGATTTTTTTTGTAGAGACGAAGTGGTCTTGAACTCCTAGTCTTAAAGGATCCTCCCTCTTCAGCCTCCCAAAGTGCTGGGATTATAGGTGTGAGCTACCAAGCCTGGTCTTTTTTTTTAAATGCTGTGCCAGCCTAAAAACTTTTCTGAAAAAGAGCCAACTCACTTCTTATGGTCAATAAAGTTTTAAGGAAAACCATTCAATCTCCAGGACCTTGGTTTTCTCATTTGCAAAATGCATACATCTACATAATGTATTTGTACATTAAGCAATGTATAATAATCTGCTCTAAATTTCTTCTTTTTTTTTTGAGTTGGAGTCTCACTGTTGCCCAGACTGGAGTGCAGTGGCCACTCCCGGCCACCGCAGCCTCAACCTGCTGGGCTCCGGCGATCCTTCCGCCTCAGCCTTCCAAGTAGCTGGAACTACAGGCGCACGCTACCATGCCCGGCTAATTTTTTTGATTTATTGTAGAGATGAAGTCTCTCCTGCCCAGGTGGGTCTCGAACCCGCAGGCTCAGGCAATCCACTCACCTCAGCCTCCCAAAGGCACGGGATTACAAGCTGAGCCACCGAGCCCGGCTTGCTCTAAGTTTCTATGTCTTTGTCAGTCCCAGCAAATCGTCCTGAACCTCCCTGATCTGATGAAATACTGATACTTATTATTAGAACTAGTCACACACATACACAAAAGTCAAGATTCATGAATTCCTTTTATGTGTTAGTTTCTGTGTAGATGCTAGAACAGAGAATACAGAAGTACAAAACAGATCCTACTTTCAAGGAAATTACTTTCTAACAAGAAAAGGCCTAAATAGGAAAAATTAAATGGGCAATCTACATAAGAAATGTCACTTGGTCAGCACAAGATTAGCTGCCATTTGGGGAATAAAACATGCGATAATACAAAGGAAGAAGAAATTACAGTAGGCAGTAATTGCCTGGTAAGTTTTATACAGGAAGAAGGGTTTTAGATCTGAATAAGTAAGAGAAGACTGGAAGATACAAGGTATGAAAGGCATAAGGTAAGGAAGATGATATAAGCCAAAGGACAGAGTAAAAAACTGAACAACACAAGGATGAGTTGAAGGAGATAATCCAACAGGCCTTAAAACAGAATGAAGAGTTAAGTACGTTTGTAGAGGTCCCTGCAGAGCAAGTCACAAATAATGTTTTGCTACTTGTGATTCATTCCATTAACCATATCCAGTTTTTTGAAGAAATCTCACAATACTTTGTCTCACCGTGACTATGGAACAAACCATAAAGGTACTCAATTATTGACCCTGACATAGACAGATTATATGCAATTTCTTAAATATTAGGTATAAGTTATAACTCTGTTCATCCCTCTTTTTTCCATGCACACCCTAATTTAAATTAAAGAAAAGCAAATTTTAGCTGGGTGCATGGCTCACGCCTGTAATCCCAGCACTTTGGGAGGTGGAGGCAAGAGGACTGCCTGAGCCCAGGGGTTCAAGACCAGCCTAGGTAACTTGGCGATATGTCTCTACAATAAATCAAGAAAAATTAGCTAGGCTTGGTGGTACACACCTGTAGTCCCAGCTACTTGGAAGGCTGAGGTGGAAGGATCAGCAGGTCGAGGTTGCAGTGGCTATGGAGGTGCCACTATACTCCAACCTGGAGTGAGACTCCTACTCCAAAAAAAAAAAGAAAAAGAAAAAGAATAGAAAAGAAAAATTTATCATCCACAAACCTAAGCATGTTAGCTACTAATGAGTTACTTAGGAAACATTTAGCCAATCTAGATGCCACTCTTGAAAAACCATTACTTAAGGTACTGGAGTTGCTTTTTTTTTTTTTTTTAAAGAGACAGAGTCTTGCTTTGTTGCCCAGGCTGGAGTGTAGTGAACTCCTGGGCTCAAGCAATCCTCCTGTCTCAGGCCTCCTGAGTAGCTGGGACTATAGGTGTGTGCCACCACACCCAGCTAATTTTAAAATAAATTCTTTTTTAGAGATGAGGGTCTTGCTCTGTTGCCAAGGCTGGTTTCAAATTCCTGGCCTCAAGTGGTCCTCTTGTTTCAGTCTCCCAAAGTGCTAAGATTACAGGTGTGAGCCACCATGTGCAGCTGGTACTGGAGACGACAAGCTGCAGAGGAAGATGTTGAAAGTATTATTTTAGGGAGATTCATTTGGAAAGATGGATTGATAGAATAAAATAAAGTCAGGGAAGCCAGTCAAGAGGCTTCTTTAGGTATGATGAAGAAGTGATGAGAAGTCAGGTGGTAAAGATTTTATAAAAAGGAAGGAAGAGATGCAAGATGCAGCAAAATGGAAAAATTGCTTGGATTTGGTCAGTGGACTGAATATAGGGCTACAAAATAGAAAGACAGAAAGAGCTACATTAATTTTAAAAATGTAGGATATAAACTAAGCCATGGAAAAATAATGAATAAGAATATAGAGAAATTATGATGAAGAATAAATTTAGTTTCAAATGGCAAAAATGACAAGTTGAGGCCAGGCATGGTGGCTCACGCCTATAATCTCAGCACTTTAGGAGGCCGAGGTGAGAGAATTGCCTGAGCCCATGGGTTCAAAATCAGCCTGGGCAACTTGACGAGACCTCATCTCTACAATAAATCAAAAAATTAGCCAGGCATGGTAGTGCACGCCTGTAGTCCCAGCTACTTGGAAGACTGAGGTGGAAGGATAACCTGAGCCCAGCAGGCCGAGGCTGCGGTAACTTGTGAGGCTGTGGTAGCTTGTGAGTGTGCCACGGGCCTCCAGCCTGGGCAACAGAGTGAGACTCCAACTCAAAAAATGATGAGTTTGATTTAAATAACATTGAGAGTGAAAACACAGAGGTCATTCAAGGAGATGGGTCAAGCTGCAATTGCAGGATTGGATTCAAGAAAAGAGAAGGGTGAAAGACGGATCTGAACACAAAAAGAACAGAGATGACAGCTTGAAATCTTTAAGAAAGTAAACAAACAGAAGCATCAAGGGCTTGGGACTGATCTTAAAATTTAAGTCTCTAATCTTCGTCAACAATTATTGATTGTAGCATGGCTTTTAATAGCAAAGGATTAGAAGTAACTCATTGTCCACCAACAAGAGACTGGTTTGTAATAGCTATAAATATCTAGTTAGAGTGCTATACAGATTTTTGCATACTTATATGAGACAGTCTTAAAGATTCACTATGAAAAAAGAGACATGCCACTATAATATGCTTCTTTTGGGAGAAGGAAAAAAAAGGAGGGGGAGAACATATTTATTTTTTCTTTCATATACATAAAGTAAGTCTGGAAGAACATACTAGACAAAACTAATAGTGGCTACCTGAGAGGTGAGGGGAAGTTGGGCAAATGAAAGACAAGAGTAGGAAGACTTCAGCTGATGGCTTTTAATATATTTTTAATATATTTTTATATTTTCATCTATATTTTTAAAATAGAAATGCAGTCTCGCTATGTTGCCCAGGCTGTCCTGAACTGCTAAGCTCGAGTAATCCTCCTGCCTCGGCTCCCAAAGTGCTGGAATTACAAGTGTGAGCTACCATGACCAGCTGATAGGTTCTTTTTTTTTTTTTTTTTTAAGTTGGAGTCTCACTCTGTCGCCCAGACTGGAGTGCAGTGGCCACTCCTGGCCACCGCAGCCTCGACCTGCTGGGCTCCAGCGATCCTTCTGCCTCAGCCTTCCAAGTAGCTGGAACTATAGGCGCATGCTACCACACCCAGCTAATTTTTTTATTTATTGTAGAGATGAGGTCTCACCAAGTTGCCCAGGCGGGTCTCGAACCCGCAAGGCTCAGGCAATCCACTCACCTCAGCCTCCCAAGGCACGGGATTACAGGCTGAGTCACCGAGCCCGGTGATAGGTTCTTTTTTTAAGCCATGAGAATAAGTTATTTCTTATTCAAAATGACATATTTTAAAACTCCTAACAAAAACTTGATAGTCACCCGAAAACAATATCACTGGATAAATAAAATAGTGAACCTGCATCACTGTCACTGCTCCGTAAGTCACAGCTGTCCAATAGATAGAGCCAACCATTATTCCCGCTGCAGCAAATGGACAGGCTTTTGAGATCAGTCTGTCTGCAAGATCCAAGACGTAAACAACTGGACCTACAACACAAAGAAAACAAGTAAAGGTTCAACACAGGCGGATTTTAAACAGGACTTGTTTTTTAAATGACTTGTTATTTCTAAATTTCTATAGATCTAAAATATTTTTATGGAGTTGGATTATTATTATTATTTTTTTGAATTGGAGTCTCACTCTGTCACCCAGGCTGGAGGGCAGTGGCATGCTCACGGCCACCAGAGCCTTGACCTGCTGGGCTCAGGTGATCCTTCTGCCTCAGCCTTCCAAGTAGCTGGAACTGCAGGCACGTGCCATCATGCCTGGCTAATCTTTTTATTTATTGTAGAGATGAGGTCTCACCAAATTGGCTGGGCTGGTCTTGAACCTGTGGGTTCAGGTAATACTCTTATCTAAGCCTCCCAAAGTGCTGGGATTATAGGAGTGAGCCACTGTACCCGGCCTGAGTTGGATGTTCTAATGCCTCAGAAATAATTGTTATAAATGTGATGGGAGCTCAGATTAGAATATTTTAGAATTTCTCAGTCATCTGCATGAATAGCTAGATATTACTTCCTAAATTCTAGGAAACAGCCTCTTTAAATTCTTATCTTTATTACTGAACCTAAAATTAGAGTCTCAAATATAGCTGCTTCTTTTTTCTTTTTGAGTTGGAGTCTCACTCTGTCGTCCAGACTGGAGTGCAGTGGCCGCTCCCGGCCACCGCAGCCTCAACCTGCTGGGCTCCGGCGATCCTTCCGCTTCAGCCTTCCAAGTAGCTGGAACTACAGGCGCATGCTACCACGCTGGGCTATACAGCTGCTTCTTATAAAGGAAATCATCCTCTCACTTCCATCTCTGCATTACACTGATGACTACACAGTGACTTGGCCATTTCAGTTTGCTCTTTCCAAATAGTTCCTGGAGATAGTAAGATTCTCTAGCATTTGGTGAGAATCTCACTTCCCCAACTTCACTTTTTGTGTACATTGGTACAGTATTTAAAGATAACCAAAGTCATTTTTTTATAGTTATACAAAGTCAATTTATCTACTTTGATTTCCAATATGCCATATTTAGTTGAATATTATTCTCCAACAAATTTCTTTTTATGATTATGAGGCCAGTTTCTAAGGCATTCCAACAGCTGTCTGTACCAATTATACTTCTATTCTTATGTGCTTAATGTTAAATTTGGCTACTATTCCCTTTTGGAAGTTTTTGGAATAATTACATTTGGAGGTATTCTACTAACTGCCACTAAGCCCAATTTAGCTCCAGAATTTTCTAGAAGCCTGATTTAAAGCAAGGCCAAAGAACATCCAAGAATATCTAAGTTTAACCAAAGGAATATGAAATTTCCTGATTTAGGATGTACCCTTTACATACAAACTATTACTTATATTTTCTTAGAAATATACATGTAAGAGTCATTACCTACCTTCTGAGGGGTTATAATCTAAAGGCAGGTGCAATACACAAAAAGTTTATTTTTCATTTACAAAGAAATTAACACAGCAATCTGATAAAAATAATTAAGCATATAAGAACAAAGTATCCATCGATGGAGCCCCTGATCAAGTCTCCCTGCTGATCACTGGAGCCAGTAATATCTCTAGTCATTGTATAAAGAGATACTACATTGTGAAGTAGAGAGAGTATTAGGAAAGGATGTCCAAGGACCTGTGATTTAAGTATAGCATATTTACTTATTTATTTTTTTGAGTTGGGAGGTCTCACTCTGTCATCCAAGCTGGAGGGAGTACAGTGGCACAATCACGGCTTACCACAGCCTTGACCTCCTGGGCTCAGGCAATCCTTCCACTTCAGCCTCTTGAGTAGCTGAGACTACAGGTGCATGCCACCACACTCATCTCTATTTTTTTAGAGATGAGGCCTTGCTATGTTGTCTAGGCTGATCTTGAACTCCTGGGCTCAAGTAATTTTCCTGCTTTAGCCTCCTGAAGTATAGGGATTACAGGTGTGAGTCACCACACCTGGCCCATATTTACTTATTATTGAAAAGCTCCAATTTACATAACACTTATACCTATGATAAAGTATATCTGGGGACCAAAGAGATAAAGCCTAATTTCATGTACATCCTCTAATAACAGCATTTTTTGAGTGTCTACGTGATACCAGGCACTGTGTCACAGGCATTACATGCATCATTATTTATTCTCAGAATATGGAGTTTAATTCTCAAAACACACAAATTTGCTGAGTTAAGTTTATAACTACCTCAGAAGGCACAATAAAAGTCATCTGAGTGATCGACCAAAGACTCCCTCAGGTGCTGGTGCTAGAAGTAAAAGACCATGGGTATATATAAACTTCAGCACTTCAACTTTTATATTCTCTATTGATAATTCTTTAACCAGAAAACTGGAGCCATAAGAGAACATCCACGGCCTCCAGCGCCGTGCCCATCTATCAACACTTCAGCTAGCTGACGTCGATCCCTTCATTTCACACTAGGTCCTATCCCCACACAACCCAAGACTACAGCTCCAGTGAGCTCTCCCACTCTCTTACATAATTTTTTCCCTATTCTTTACTGGATCATTTCTTCTATCTTAAACAAAACAAAAAAACTCTTTTGCCGCCATCTTTCTGTGCTGCCATCATGGTGCGCATGAATGTCCTGGTTGATGCTCTCAAGAGCATCAACAATGCCAAAAAGAGAGGCAAATGCCAGGTTCTTATCAGACCATGCTCCAAAGCCATTGTCCAGTTTCAAACTGTGATGATGAAGCATTTGAAATCACTGATGATCATAGAGTTGGAAAAATTGTTGTGAACCTCACAGGCAAGTTAAACAAGTGTGGAGTGATGAGCACCAGATTTGATGTAGCTCAAAGATCTAGAAAAGTGGCAGAAAAATCCGCTTCCATCCCGCCAGTTTGGTTTCATTGTACTGACAACCTCAGCTGGCATCATGGACCTCGAAGAAGCAAGAAGGAAACACACAGGAGGGAAAATCCTGGGATTCTTTTTCTAGGGATGTAAAATATATATACAAATATGTACAAATAAAAAGCCTAGGTGGAAAAAACAAAAACAAACAACCAAAATACCCCAAACAAAAAGCTCTTTGCTTGATCCTTTTTGCCCCACTACATCATTTCTTTGCTCTATTTGCAACAAAATTCCTCAGAAAAATTCTCTCTCTCTCCTTTAGTTCTCTCTTGAACCCACTCCATCAAAACTGCTTATCAAGATCACTATCAACATCCACACAGCTAAACTCAATTTTCTAAACTCAGTCCTCAGTCTTCCTCTTTTTTTTTTTTTACTTTTTAATTTAAGTTTTCTTTTTTTTCTTTTTTTTGAGTTGGAGTCTCACTCTGTCACCCAGACTGGAGTGCAGTGGTCGCTCCTGGCCACCACAGTCTCGACCTGCTGGGCTCCGGCGATCCTTCTGCCTCAGCCTTCGAGGTAGCTGGAACCACAGGTGTGCACTACCACACACGGCTAGTTTTTGATTTATTGTAGAGATGAGGTCTTGCCAAGTTGCCCAGGCGGGTCTCGAACCCGTGGGCTCAGGCAATCCGCTCGCCTCAGCCTCCCAAAGTGCTGGGATTACAGGCTGAGCAACCTGAGCCCGGTCTCTCAATCTTCCTCTTAATTGGCCTATCAGCAGCAGCTGACACAGATGGCTGCCCCTCCCCACCATTTTCTTCCCAATATATGGTTCTTTGATGCATTTCCAGAACATCCCTTGGTTTTCTCAGTACTTATTTTTCAGTCTCCCCTGATGGTTCTTCCTCTTCTTTGTCTCCCCGCTCCGCCCCCCACCCTTAGAGACGGGTCTCATGTTGCCTAAGCTGGCCTTGAACTCCTGTGCTCAAGCACTCTTCCTGCCTCAGTCTCCCAAATATTGAGACTACATGTATGACCACCATGCCCCTTCCTCCGCTTTGTGACCTCAGTAGTGCCCAACCCTCCCAACCCCTTCCTCATCAAACCCCCCATTTGATTACTTTGCTCTATTTCCATTTTGCAAAGCATGTTCACCTAACATACTCTAGTTTACTTATTAATTCTGCTGCCACATATAGAACAGGTGCTGGAAAACTATGGCTTGTAGGCCAAACTCAGTCAACTGTCTGCTTTTGAAAATAAGGTTTTATTGGAACGTGGCCACATGCAAAGTCTAAAATACCTACTATCTGGCTCTTCTTGTTTTTTGAGTCAGAGTCTCACTCTGACGCCCAGGCTGGAGTGCAGTGGCATACTCACGGCCACCACAGCCTCAACCTGCTGGGCTCAGGTAATCCTTCGGCCTCAGCCTTCCAAGTAGCTGGAACTACAGGGGCATGCCATCATACCTGGCTAACTTTTATGATTTATTGTAGAGACGAGGTCTCACCAAGTTGCCCAGGCTGGTCTTGAACCCTCGGGCTAAGGCAGTCCTCTCGCCTCAGTCTCCCAAAGTGCTGGGATTACAGGCTGAGCCACCGTACCTGGCCCTATCTGGTTCTTTACAGAAAATGTTTGCTGACACCTGCATTAGAACACAAGCTCTAAAGGGAAAATGATCTTTTTGTTTTGATTATTGATGTATCCCAAGTTCTACCATGCTCAAGCACTTTGAATTGAATTCTCTAACACCTGGAGCTATCTACTGATAGAGCGAAGCAATGTAATTCCTTTAAAAAAAAAAATCAAGCCGGGCTCGGTGGCTCAGCCTGTAATCTCAGAGCTTTGGGAGGCCGAGGTGAGTGGATTGCCTGAGCCCACAGGTTCAAGACTTGCCTGGGAAACTTGGTGAGACCTCATTTCTACAATAAATCAAAAATTAGCTGGGCGTGGTAGTGCGTGCCTGTAGTTCCAGCTACTTGGAAGGCTGAGGCGGAAGGCTCTCCAGAGCCCAGCAGGTCGAGGCTGCAGTGGTCAGGAGAGGCCACTGCACTCCAGTCTGGGTGACAGAGTGAGACTCCAACTCAAAAAAATAAAATAAAATCAAAATCAAAATAAAAAAACCAAAAAAATCAAATATTTCAATGAAAACATAAGTCCTAACAAGTGACCCATCACTACTTATTTTATCTGTCATGAACACTGACAATCTAGAGATGTCCAAACTGTTTTTACTTGGAAGATCTCAGAAAGTTCTAACATAATCTCAAATTTCTTCCTGAATCATCAGTTGTGAATTCTTTTGTGCAATGAAAAAAAACACAAAAACCTTCATACTTCCTCGTTTGGAAATTTTCTACTCATCCCTTTGTTTCATGCAAAACATATGCCAGATAAAATGAAGACACAGGCACCCAATTCCAGTTTTTCCGAAAATTCTGTCTTGGCTTTTGTCTTCAGTTTACTTTGTCTAAATCTCTTAAGTCTCTTCCAGATGAACTGGTTCAAGATTAGCTTAATATTTAAAAGGAAGGATAAATGCCCAGTGTTAAGTATACCATTAGAATAATAAACTCCACAGGGGAGGTATTTCTGAGAGCTGAAGATTATCTAGGCAAGCTATTTGGTGAGTAGGAACAATCACTAACATCTCTGGATGACAGTCTCTAAATCATACTCTTTCTACTAGGAAGTTTATGTGCTACTCTCTCATGACTTGGGGTCATAATTTTAGGTAAACAGTAACAGTTGCTAGATTCTTACTGTCAGATTACAGCACAAAGAATCATGGGAAGTGGGGAAAGGCAAGAGCTTAGCCTTTGAAAACCTCAATCCTAATGGAGAGGAAGAAGTATGAATAAATCACAACTTAAATACACAAAGGCATAAAAAAGTTTCAATATTTAAAAAAGGCATTATTGAATTTGTAACGCCTCAGTGGGCCTCACCACTTGTGTTTTCAGCAGTACTGTATTTACACAATGGATGGCAACTGAAGCAGCTTTGTATAAATAAAAGTTTTGAAAATCTATTAATTTAAAGGGTACTAGGGAAGCTTGCAATTAACAGGAAATCTATTAGGACTTCTTTTGTATAAAAAGAGGCTTTTGTAAAGAGAACAACTATAGCCGAGTCTAGGAGTTTTGGGTAAAGTCAGGTTTGCTTGGGTTTTTTTGTACCACAGTACAATTCATAATTGCAGAATTCAAGTTTTTACATTTTAGATTCGAATGACATCAAAAAGTAAGCTGGGAGCTATTGGGGAAACTCATAAGTTCATGTCTATTGAAAAAGAAGTAATCAGTTTTGTCTGGCAGATGCTGCAAAAGTTAGCTTTTGCTACTGCTGTGATTGAAATTAAAGTCTATGTATGTATGATAGTTAAAGGCACACCTTGCAAGTTAAGATATCAATGACTGAAGGGCAGGTAGCGTTCAACATTTGCTGGCATTGCTTATAACACCCAGAACTCCTAGGACCTTTCTCTGGGATAGAACAGTAACCTCAAAAACGCCTACAACCAATTCTTGAGAAACATAATTTCTTTCTTTTTTTGTGTTGGCAGTCTCACTCTGTTGCCCAGATTGGAATGCAGTGGCATGCTCATGGCCACTAGAGCCTCGACCTGCTGGGCTTAGGTGATCCTTCTGTCTTAGCCTTCCAAGTAGCTGGAACTACAGGCATGCCACCACACCTGGCTAGTTTTGTGATTTATTGTAGAGATGAAGTCTTGCCAAGTTTCCCAGGCTGGTCTTGAACCCCTGGGTCAGGCTCCCAAAGTGCTGGGATTATAGGCACGAACCACTGTGCCTGGCGAGAAACAAAATTTCTATACTTTGTTGGAATACTAAAGTTTCCGACACAAAACATGATTTCATGAGCATTTATAAAGTGCTTCATAAGACAACTCTGTATAAGTAAGTTCCTAAGAAGATAACAGTTCCCATGAACTCCAGAGTTTTTGTTAAGTGTCCAATGTTTGTTGTTGTTTGAGACAAGGTCTTACTCTGTTGCTCTAGCTGGAATACAGTGGCCTGATCATAGCTTACTACAGCCTTGAACTCCTAGGCTCAAGGGATTGATCCTTCTGCCTCAGTCTCCTTAGTAGCTAGGAGTACAGGTACGTGTCACCATACCCAGCTAATTTTTTTTCTTTTTTTGAGATGGAGTCTCCCTCTGTCACTCAGGCTGGACTGCAATGGCACCATCACAGCTCACGGCAGCCTTGACTCCTCCTTAGGCGATCCTTCCACCTTGGGCTCCTGAGTAGCTGGGACTATAGGTGTGCACCACCATACCTGGCTAATTTCTTTCATTTCCTGTAGAGACAAGGCCTTGCTACGTCGCTCCGGCTGCTCTCAAACTCCTGGGCTCAAGTGACCCTCCCGCCTTGGCCTCCCAAAGTGCTGGAATTATAGGCATGAGCCGCTGCACCCAGCCTCAATGGCCAAAGGTTTATAAAAAATATTTGACAAGCAAAACAGATGGCTCACAGAAGCCACTCCAGTTCCCAGGGATTTTTGTTTGCTTTTTGCTTTGCATTGAACTGGTTTTGACCTAGACCCAACTTAAATGCCAACTTTCTAAAGCAAAAACATCAACTCCATTTTTAGAGGCATCCAGAAGTATAGATTTTTGAGGCCACCAAGAATCCAATATAGCTCTAAAACTTGTCTCCTTGCTCCAAGTCTTTTAGTGGTACTCTATGTCTGGAGTGTTCTGCCTCTACTTTGATTAAGTTGGTATACAAACCCAGCCTCCCAGCTAAAACTAATCTAACTTGAGAGAGGCTAATTTCTCTACCCCACCCTGTCCATGTCCCGTGAGGATTCCTTCACATACTACCGCACAAAACGCACTTACCCCTTTGCTTGTGCATAATGTTAGTACTTTATGTTCTTGTTCAATGTATGTTCAGTTGTCTCAATATCCTGTAGGTCTGTCCATGTCAGCATCATCTTAGACTGAACACTCCCAGGGGACAGGGACCATGTCTGTTTAACTCATTTTGTACAGTGCCTAGGATAGAACCATGTACAGATAGGTGCTTTAAAAAATGCTTCTTTAATGATGATTGGCCTCACTCTCAAGGACCCTCTAGGCCATAGCGATCTCAGCACATGGTACTTGACAGTATGGGGGCACTCTGGCCTGATATACAGGGAACTGGATTATAATGGCACAGGACTTAGCTACAGCACTCAGTGGCAAGTATTTACTCAATCTGTTGATAAAATGAACTTTGAAGAAAATGAGGCAGTATTAGGTATATTTTCCCAAGTCAATGACTGTGAATTTTATTGATGGCATGAAATAGTACTACAACAATAAAACTGATTAAGTTAAAAGTATGTGAGAATCCCAATGGGATAGTAGGAAGTTTTAACTCTAGTATTTGTCACTCTTTCAAAAACTACACTTTGGAGGCTAGGTCTAAGAGCCTGAGACAACTTTATGCAAGTAAGTTCTAACTTTTTTTAATTGAGTCAGAGTCTCACTCTGTCGTTCAGTCTGGAGTGCAGTGGCATGATTATGACCACCACTGCCTCAACCCCACAGCTGGCTCAGGTGATCCTTCTGCCTCAGCCTTCCAAGTTGCTGGAACTACAGGAGTGCACCACCATGCCTAGCTAATTTTTTGGATTTATTGTAGACAAGGTCTCCCCATGTCATCTAGGCTAGTCTCGAACTCCTGGGCTCAGGCCATCCTCTCACCTCTGCTTCCCAAAGTGCTGGGATGACAGGCGTGAACCACCAGGCCTGGCCAATCTTACCTTTGATTGCTCTACTTGTACATCTTTGTGTAAGAACAAGTGTCTGCAAGCTCAGGCCGTAAATGACTTTGTTTAATAACAAAAGGTCAGTCATTAGACTGTAAAGAGAGAAGAAGGGATATGCTCTTGGACAATTTTTTTAGATAAATAAACTAATAATATTTGACTAAACCCCCCCACAAAAAAACCCCCAAACAACTATGAAGAAAAAAAGGATACAGGGTCAAAGCAGATGAGTACAACACACACACACACACACACGGTATACAGCTGTTTATTTTCATAGCTATAAATTTATATAAATAGCTACATATCATATCTATATATTTATATATCACATGACCATGACTAATGATCTTTATGATTACACAGTTTGTGCTAAGGGAAAGTCTAAATTTACCCTCAGAAGACTAGAATAGCCTACAGAATCTTTGTGAGCTGCAAGGCCAACTACTAAGTACTTATTAAGCACCTACTGTACACATAATAGTTTATTAAGTATTAAAATAAATGTAGGCCAGGTGCAGTGGCAAGAGAGTTGCCTGAGCTCAGGTGTTCAAGACCAGCCTGGGAAAATTGGTCAGACCTTGTCTCTACAATACAACAAAAAATAAGCTGGGTGTGGTAGTGCATGCCTGTAGCTCCAGCTACTTGGAGGGCTGAGGCGGAAGGATCACCTGAACCCAGCAGGTCGAGGCTGTGGTGGCCATGAGTATGCCACTGCACTCCACCTTGGTGACAAAGACTCCAACTCAAAAATAAATAAATAAATAAATAAATATGTAAATAATATTTAACATACTAGCCACTGTCTCCAAGGAGTCTACAACCTAATTAAGGACAAACAATTTACATTAAACAACTGAAAAACTTTTAGGCAAAATTAATATGATAGCATGGTATAAGCTATACAGATAAACGTTAAGAACATTTTAAGTAAATATTATAGAGGGGGTGAGGTGACAAAGAGTTTTTAAAATTACTGTTTTGTTTTTTAAAATATATAAATCTTGATCTGAATTTGAAGAACCTTCTAACTGGAAGTGAGAGGCTTTGTTTAAAAAAGTTCTTTAGCTGGGCTCGGTGGCTCAGCTTGTAATCCCGCGCCTTTGGGAGGCTGAGGTGAGTGGATTGCCTGAGCCCGCGGGTTCGAGACCCGCCTGGGCAGTGAGACCTCATCTCTACAATAAATCAAAAATCAGCCGGGCATGGTAGCACATGCCTGTAATTCTGGCTACTCGGAAAGCTGAGGCAGAAGGATCGCCGGAGACCAGCAGGTCGAGGCTGCGGTGGCCAGGAGCGGCCACTGCACTCCAGTCTGGGCAACCGAGTGAGACTCCAACTCAAAAAAAAAAAGTTCTTTAAGGTGTGATAAAAGCACCATCACCAATCACCATTAATTAATTTTATAAAAACTCTTGGCAGTACTAATTACACACATACTACATATATGCCAGGTAACTGTATACAACACAGTCCTTTTTCTTCTTTAAACATATCTATATTTTAAAAAAATTTCCATTATGAGAATATAATTATTATTATTAATAAGAAAAACTAGCTGAGCATGGTGGCATGCGCCTATAGTCTCAGCTATGAGGGAGGCTGAGACAGGAGGCTGAGGCGGGAGATCACTTGAATCCAGGAGTTCAAGGTCACAGCGAGCTATGATTGCGCCACTGCACTCCAGCCTGGGTGACAGAGTGAGATCCTATCTCTAAAAACACAAAACAAACAAAACCTACATTTTAGAAAACAAAGAATTAAAAAATTCAGGCAACTATAACCCTCAAGAAGTCACTCTGACATTATCAATGAATTTTTGCTTCCCTTTTATGTGAGAAGCTTTATTTATTGAAGAGATGAGGTCTTGTCAGGTTGCCCAAGCTAGTTTGAACCTGTGGGTTCAGGCAATCCTCTTGCCTCTGCCTCCCCAAATGCTGGAATGACAGGCGTGAGCCACTGTGCCTGGATTAGGCAGTTATTTTTTAGAAAAAGTTTAGGGGGTAGGCTCTGGGATTAGCAGGTGATTGGTGGAAGGAAAGGTCTAGAAAAAATTCTCAGGCATGCATAGTTATCTCTACATACTACTTCCTGGATCACATGTGTAAATGTAGGGGTTAATATGAAACATGTTGGAAATTTGGCTGTGACATCAGCAAGCTCATTAAGCACAAACTACAGTTGGCCATATTGGTTCCAACCAATTTCAGCCAGTTTTAAAATCTCACAAGTGGAGGGATTTTCTTTGTTTCAGCAAGTTGTTCCTTGTATACCTGCTCTCCTGTGAACTCAAACTTTCTGTTAGTCATTGGTGTATTTAACTCTTCAGGGTATGGTTTCACTATTGATCTCTATGTGAGTATCTTTTTCTTCTAAATTTTTTATCTATTTAACATGTTTTTGGTATGAAAACATACCAACACTTATGAGATGCAGCTAAAGCAGTGCTTAGAGAAAAATTTATATTAGTAGCTGTAAATGACTATATTATAAAAGAAGAAAGAACCATTCAACAACCATTTTTTGAGGATGGTTATTAGTAAACTTCTATACAAGATATAGTTATGAGAAGAACAATAAAATAAAACAAGAACAAAATAATAATAAAAACTTAACTTGAAAGCAATGTAAGAATGTACTACTGGGCTGGGCACAGTGGCCAAAGCCTATAATTCCAGCACTTTGGGAGGCTGAGGTGGGAGGATTGCTTGAGCCCAGGAGTCTGAGACCAGCCTGGGCAATATAGTGAGACTCCATCTCTATAAAAAATAAAATAACTAGCTGGGTGTGGTGGTGCACACCTGTAGTCCCAGCCACTGGGGAGGCTGAGACAGGAGGACTGCCTGAGTCCAGGAGTTCAAGGCTGCAGGAAGCCATGATCACATCACTATGCTCCAGCCTGGGTGACAGAGCAGGACCTTGTCTTGAAAACAAACAAACAGAATTTCCTACTAATCTATTATGACATAAGAGAACTAAAGTTGCTACACTCTATCAGTCAAAAAAGACTTTAAGACAAAAATTGCAGCAACAAAGGGCATTTTACAATGATGAAAGAGACCATCAGGAAGACATAACAATTTTATAAACATATATGCACCCAATGGAGCCCCAGAATAAAGTAAAAAAATGTATAAAACTAGAGAAATAGATAACTCAACAATAGTTTGAGACTTCTATACCCCACTTTCAATAATTGGTAGGTAAAGGATTGACAAGGAAACAGAACACTTGAAAATACTAGCAAACTAGTTATTTATACAACACTCTACCCAACAACAGCAGAATATACATTCTTTTCAAGTACACATGGAACATTCTCCAAGATAAAACATATGTTAGGTCATAAAAAGTTTTAATATATTTAAGAAATCAGATAAAGTATATTCTCTAATCACACAGAAAGGAAATTAGAACTCAGTAACAGAAGGACATTTGGGAAATTTGTAAACATGTGAAAATTAAACACCATACTCCTAAATAATCAACGGGTCAAATAAGTCACAAAAGAAATTAGAAAATATTTTGAGATCAATGAAAACATACCAAAACTTATGAGATGCAGCTAAAGCAGTGCTTAGAGAAAAATTTATATTAGTAGCTGTAAATGACTATATTATAAAAGAAGAAAGAGCCACAGAATGAGAAGACAAGCTACAGATTAGGAGAAAAGATTTCCAAAAGACATATCTGATAAAGGACTGTTATCTAAAATATCCAGGCTGGGCATGGCAGCTCAAGCCTATAATCCCAACACCTTGGGAGGCTGAGATAGAGAACTGCCTGAACCCAGGAGTTTGAGACCCGCCTGGCTAACTTGGAGAGACCTCATCTCTACAATAAATCAAGAAAAATTAGCTGGACGTGATGGTGCATGCCTGTGGTTCCAGCTACTGGGAAGGCTGAGGCGGAAAGATCACCTGAGCCCAGTGGGTTGACGCTGCAGTGGTGGGAAGCATGCCACAGCACTCCAGCCTGGGTGACAGTGAGACTTCCACTCAAAAAAAAAAAAAAAAAATCCAAAGAAGTCTTAAAAAGTCAAAATAAAACTATCACCCTAATTTAAAAATGAGCAAAAGGTTTGGACACCTCACCGAAAAAGAT